ATAGAGCAGGGAGAAGAAACTCATATTTTACGTGACCCTTATTCAAAATGTCCTCAGCGCTGTCAGGTACTCAACACATTTCTACAGTGACATAAAAACAAACAGAAACAATCAGAGTCAAGGACAAGGACCTCAAATTGAAATACAGTGCAGGATCTGAGTAAGTGTTCTTCGTTAAATTCCATCAAATTGTTTTGTTTTTTATCCAAACAAAAGTCTGTGTTATGTAAATTGTCATTTCCATTATTTCAACTATTACTTGGCTAATGCATGTCACCAACTATTCAGAAAATAGTGTAAACTGTATGATTTACAATAGATCATTCTAACAGACCATATTGTTAGAAAGGAAAAAAAAAAAAATGGAACAAAGATCTCATTTACTGTATGGCCATCAGGGACGGTTTATAGTTCCAGTACAAACTGCTGCTAGGTCTCACATCACATCGACCTGCACACACAACATGTCATCCCCTTCCAGTATTTTGTGCTGGAGACAAATATCTCAAAATGTGGTCAAATATGTTATAATATTTCAGTGAATAAACACAATTTTTAACAATTTTCTTAAAGAAGAAGAAGGGCAAGCCGACCTGCTCTAAAGGCTCCTTTTGGGGCAGGAATGGCAAAGATGACAGCCTCTGAAGATATAGGGAACATAAATCCCTGAAAGAAATCTGAAAGTTAATGTAGAGTCTCTGAGTTAAACAGCTGTGTCACACCTTCTGTATTCAGCCAGAGCAGGCTAACACCGCTCAGAGGCACCTATCCAAAGAAAAACTGAACTACAGTGATTTCAGAAAACAATTAATCTAAGACGCACCTCGCAGGCAGCTGTGCAGAGTGTCTCGCCTTTTGTGCATGAGTGTTTATGCGTGTTTGCCTGTGTGCGTGTGTGTGTGTGTGTGTGTGTGTAACCTGACAGCCTGCCACACAATGGGGGTCCAAGTGAGTGTGAACTCTATTCCTTCCCACAGCTGCCATTAACAGACGGAATGAACAGCCTCTTGCTAATAAAGTGAATAAATAAATAACGCTTAAAAGGCCATGTTTACCTCCTCAGTCTCTGTCTATTAGTGATACTTAAAAAAAAAGCTGGAAGATCTTTTGGGTTCAGATGTGTGTGTGAATTACTGTTCGTCAGTTCATACGTTTACAAACTTCTGTTGTCACTCTGAGGGTTTCAAGTCAGATTATGGAGGTGACCATTAAACTCAATGCCACAGGTTAATGCTGGTGTTTTTTTATTATGATGTGGCTTCTGGATATTTGTCCACCACTGTACATGCAGCTGTGCAAGTCCTTAAAGGGACAGTACAACCAAATTACAAATACAACTCATCACTTGTTTGTAATATTAATCACTGAGAATCCTCAATCAACCATATAGTTGAATATGTTTGTGATGTGTTACAGTGAGGTCAATAAGGACACTGAGATTGTGTATATATTTCGGGGAATATTAGGTTTCAGAGACCCCACAAGTCTACATTGTTCAATAAAAAGCTACCCAATTTTGAGGCTGATTCAAGTTACATTATGGCCACAAAAAAAGCAAACATATGATTTAGGATTTCATTATATTCAGAATATTCTTCAATTGAAACAGAAATGTACTTTATGTTGTGGGAAATACAAAGCTAACACGTGTTCCAAAGTAATCTAAATGTAAGGGCCAACTCCTTACTTTTTAGAGCTTTTAAATCTCTCGACTGCATGTACAATTTCCTTAATGAAGCATCTCAAGACTCATTTCCGAGGAAGATTCCTTATAAGATTGAAGTTAAAGTGGCGATCTGCTAATTACAGGAAAAGAAGACGAAGCTAGTTGTTTTTTTATTCAGTGTTAGGTTGAGTTCATAAGTAGTTGATGATCTCTAGAGGAATTTCCTTGAAAGACCTGCTACATTTAAATAAAATCTGCAGGAATTAAAATGAACACCTCTTTAAAAAAATGTAATTGTGTAAAATTCATCAAAACCTTTTAAGGAATTTATGCCAGCTTTTTTACTCCTGACCTTAGTGGTTCTTAATTCTTGCCATAGCCCTGCTTCCAAAGGGTTTATTTTTCAAATTAAACTGCAAAATAAAATAAAAATTGTGTTACTTTGAACACTTGAATTGAATAATTAATACTTCTTTAGTTATACGTTCCTCCAACTGACATTGTGCTTGTAAATTCTTCAAATGCCATTGGCCAATGCTTTGAGAAACAAAAATGCTATTCAATTCACCTGCATGAATTGTGAACAGAACTCACAAAGAAGAACATCTTAAAACCCTGGAAAATAAAAGCCAAAATATCTGCTTGGTTTGAGACGGCTAACATTTAAGTGTGGAGAAATGTGTCTTTTTGTATATTTTGGCAAACTGACCCTTATGGAATGCTTTTGGATGGAATAAAAAAAACAAGAAATAATTTGGCGTTTGTGGTGTTCGAGGTGCTGATCCAGCTCCAAGGAGGAATGATGGAAGAGGAGGATCAGCGAGAAAGTGTTTAGCTGGTGGTTGAAAGACTATAGTGCGTAGCAGAGAGTGAATGGAGATAGAGACAGAGGATGGAGGGAGGTGGTGATGGGGAAAGGGGGGGGGGGCAACAAGATGGAGAGAGACTGCCTGCACATACTGTCAAGGCAGTTAATATAAGGTGTGAAGATAAGGCCCACAGACAAACATTGACCAAATCAGGCATTTCAGCAGCGCAGCCCGAACTGTCAGTCAGCCTGAGAGACAGACCAACAATCAGCACTTTACCTCTGATAAGGGCTCTACTGAGCGCGTGCAGGAAATAGCCAATCTGCAGCCAGCCTGGCAAGGAGGGTGATGGCGGGGAGCGGAGGGGGGAGGGCGGTGCGATGATGGAGAGTGAAGGGGTTAGAGGAGGGAGGGAATGTAGAGAGACAACAAGTGAGGGAAAGTGGCCTATAAATTCAGAGAGAAATGTGGACCAAGAGTTCACTGGAAGGGATAATACCCAGGAGGAAAGATGGAGAGAAAAGGAAGGAAAACAGGGTGATATTCCTCCACACACCCCCGAGAAAGAGAAAGAGAATCTGTAGGGAATACAAGTGATGGGGATATAAAAAGAGAGATGTGATATCGGCTCCTAAAATAGTGTCTTTCCCCAGTTTTTTGTCACCTGGGAACAGCTTGCGCACAGAGAGTGTGAGAACTTGGTTTAGACCAACACCTTACATTAATGATTTGCCAACAGCGTTGACTAGCTCATTATTCAACGTGCTGTTCGCCTCGCACACAATAGCATCATTTCATCGTCTCTATTGATTAATGGTGCATATAGTGTGTACATGCGCGTGCACAGATTCACCACATTCATCCACAGGAGTGTGTGTGGTGTGTCTGAGTGAAGGATAACACTCCCTTTTTAATGGAGGAGTCTGCACTAGCCATGAAATTCCCTCATAACAAAATAAACACATCCAAAACGCTGGAGTGGATGCCTTTGGAAAATGCACAGTAGTGGAAGGCCACGTTGGTTAGCTCAGATCCACACTGGCCCCTTCAGGAACGACCAGGAACTACAGTCTGCGAGTTTGTAAATAGATTCCCAGCCGTTTACCTTTGTCAAACACATTTAGGTTCCTCCAAGCAAAACAGGGGAGAGCACCAACAGCTGGCCAGTATTTATTTTCAGAAGTGCAGTCAGAGGGGTGTCTGGGCTTCCTTGATCATGAACCAAGCTGCCATTACCATGACCACTGATAACAGTAGGAATCGTAAACAAGCTAATCACCGAGGGCCCTATTTGTATTCTCATTTGTGTTTGCATGCACTGATGTGCAGGGGGGGGGGGGGGGGAGGAGGCCAACACCACGAAAAACAGGCGTGGGTGGCGGGGGGAGACTGGGATGGAGGGTGGGGTGTGAGGGAAAGGGTTAAGTTCCCTCCCTGGTTGCATGCTGCTTTCTCTTGCTCTGTCAAGCCCCATTAAACCTGCTACACCACAGCAATAAGGTGCCATCAATTACAGGCACGCTGCCATCAATGCAGAGCGCAGAGCAGAGGCAGGAACACATAACCAGGACAAACGGCCACATAAAAGACCCGCAGCTGAAGCCCTGCAGCCTGCCACCTCCACAGCATCCACCCTCTCCCTCTGCATCACCTGTGAGGTAAACTCTCTGTCTGTGTGTGAACGAAAGGATGCTTTGTTTCAAATACACACAAAATGCATTCATTTCAGACTCACTTTCATTCATAATAGCAAGGAGAGAGGTTGGAGAAAAGATGTGGGTGCAACTGTGGGACAAAAGTGATTGCAGTGTGCTTCTACTGCCCCCATGTGACGGAGCAGAAAACTATTCAGAACCATAGAGGCAGCACATTTCAAACTGAAACATATTAAATATATCAACCCCTCTTCACATTCATGGACCAGAAAATAATAACAAATTAGACCATCACAGTTAGAGCAAGATCAATAGCGGAGAGCATTCTTGAAAGTCATTTTTATAAATGTGTCTCGTCTCAGAATAGCTGATTCCCTCAAGGCTCTGACTGTATTTTCAACCATTCAGGAAGAGAAAGGCAGAACAGCTGTACTCATTCAGAGTCAGACAAAAAGAAGAATGGCTGACAAGACACTCTCGGAGATCTGCAGGTAATTGTTTCCGACTAGCCAAGAGAGAAAGAAGCCCGCCTTTCTGTGCCTTTTGCTGTTGTAGTGTCTTTATCGATCGATGAGTGTATCAGGATTCTCTGTGCAAGTCACCAAAACATTGAAAAGCAAGATTTCAGTATTTAAAAAACTGAAAAGCAAGAAGAAATACAAGATTACAAAGGCAATGGAAGAAGGAAAAAAATCCAATAAAATCCTTGAAAATAAAACAATGGTCATAAATACTGGATTTTTCCATGCGATGTGTTGTACTTAAAACTGAAGATAAGAGTGCAGGAAACCAACTTGAGATATTAGATTAATAAGAGTTCAACTTTGATTGATGAGTAACTCATTAAAAGTATGCAAGAGATTGGTCATATCAGGGAAGAATATTGTTATTGGATTTATTAAAGATACATTTTATAAAAAAGTTGCACATTGAATACAGACATTTCCATTTTGTGTAGAAAAAGTTAAATATTTCTTAGTTTTTCTGCCATACTCTTAAAAGTTAAACGCAACAAAAGGCTTTCCTCACTTACAGAAACATCTGCCAGAACAAAAAATGAAGAGACATCCGGACTACCTTACATGATGTTTGAAATGTAAAGGATTGCTTTACCCAAAATACAAAAAGAACATTAGTAATACCTACTTAATTAAATTAGCTCCTGAACTTGCCTTGGAACAATAATATGTTTTTGTTTTTCTCAGTATCAAAGTCATCCAGAGATAGTTTTCTTTATATCCATTACTACACTCGAAATAGCAACTGTAAATAAATAATTCAGCGTACTTTTAACTGTGCCAATTAGCCAAAATGTTAACAACTGTAGGCTAAAACACTGTGAATACGTTTCATTTTAATACTGTTATCTGCACTAACAAAAACAAATTCAACTCTCATGTAATGATGAAAAAAAAAGTGTTTGTTTTTTGTAATTTGGGAGAAACAACCCTTTAAAAACACATCACTCAGTTTTACATAGAGATAAGTTAGATGTAAAGAAAACTACATATTTACAAACGGTGTCATGTTGACCTGGGGCTCATGTGGAGTTTATCTGAGAGGAGGAGCTGCTGCTGCCGGAGCTCTTGGTCTTCGGCCCCCTGGTGGCGCTGGGCTGCCGCTGCACCCGCTGGCTGGAGGCCTCTCTGCTCCTCTCACTGTGGCCCGCTGCTGCCTTACTGCGCACTGCTGAGAAGAGGAGGAAACACAGCAAGTTAAAGGGCAGACCATAGACTGGGGCAGACAGACGTTTAGATGGGATGATTGTAGCTACACATGCTCCGAGAACATGACAAATGGAGAAGGGCGATGACATGGAAAAGATACAAACGCATTGCACATACAGAAAATGACATTTTTTTTACAGACACAATTTCTTAACTTCTTTTAAATACAGTTTATAGCACTGCACATGAACACTGCACACTTGACTAAAGCTGGGAGAAGAGGCTATAGGCTTTTGGCAACAACAGCTGTGATCATTCAGGTTGTCTCAAGAGATGTAGGCAAGGCCATGTTACATTTAAATAGGGAGACCAAAAACATTATTTCCCTTACAAATAAGGTTAAATAAAAAATAAATAATAAAACACACCCTTGCTCAACTCTACCACAACCATACCTATACTTAAAAATAGTTAGTCAATTCATGAACCACTGCTACGAACGTTATGTAAAGTCAAGAAGTCCTGGTATATTATCCCCCTAAAGCTGCATGTAATGTGTCAAGATAAGATACAATGTAATTTATTAATCCCAATTTCGGAAATGTTTTCGTTGCAGCAGCAAGTGGTAAAACAATAATAGTCATATTTAAATTTGAGATTGGGAGAGACTTGGGAAAGCATTGCCACTAAAACTCCAATTAAAAATATATTGGGCAGGGAAAATGTCCACTGTGAAAGGACCCCACTGTAAAGTACGCGGCATACACACACACACCACACACAACACACACACACACACACCACACACACACACACACACACACACACACACACACACACACACACACACACACACACACACAACACACACACACCGCACACACACACACACACACATCACACACACACACACACACACACACACCACACACACACACACACACACACACACACACACACACACAACACACACACACACACACACACACACACACACACACACACACACACACACACACACACACACACACACACACACACACACACACACACACACACACACACACACACACACACACACACACTGATGCTGGTCCATGGAGTGATGAAACATGCAGAACACTAATGACAGTAATATAGGCAGGCAAGCGGACAGATGGGGGTGTGGACAGAGTGCAGCAGAGGGGACCTTGAGAGTGAGGAGGGTTAGCGTCTTGGGAGCCGTAGACCACAATCTTAGTGCTGACCCTTGTGGCTCTGGGGCCAGACGCTGAGGGGGGGGCTGCAGGACGCTTAGGGCTCTTTCCAGAGACCAAAGAGTCCTCTTCTTCAGTGAACAACAGGCACAGGAAAAACAGAATTCAAAAGTGATAGAAAATAAATTAGAGAGCCCCGTGACTGACATGCACACAGTGAAGATTTATTTTTGAAGAAGATCTACTTTATATCCTCGTTCTTCAGTTCACCTTTAAAGCCCCGGCCACACGAGGACGATACCGGTCGTATCTGCTACAGTTCACTATCAGATAGACGGTTCGGCCACACGAGGCCGACACGGAAACGCAGAAAACGATAACGGGTCCCTAGGTGGGTAGATCTGCAAACGAAACGCTCTGGGGGGGCAAACGGCTCCGTGTTTACGCTTATACGATCATGTCCTGATAACGTTGAAGCAATAGCCCCGCCTCTCCCCACCTCTCCTGCTCAGAGATCAGCTGCTGGGCTGTCAGAAGAGGGGGAGGAAAAGAGAGGCTCCGTTTTTTACCTGACCTTTGACCGGCACTTTTCAAATTTTGTCCGGAAGATTTCAACTTTAACGGACATGTTGACCGGCAAAAAAAAATCTAACTGAAACTCTGCTGCTCTGTCCCCTCGTCCCTTGGAAGAGGCGGAGAGGTGGGTGTCATCTGCTGGTGGACTACCGGAGAGAATTACAGCAGGAGCAAACGCTTGCCTCGGGGAGGGAGAAAAAGAGCCAGAGCGTCCACAGCGGAGAATAAACAGAAGGGCAACCATGGCAACCATGCGCGGGAAGTCTTCTTCGCTGCTTTTGTGGCAGGACTACAGCGCCACTTACAGGCCTGGCATATGTACTACAGCGTCTCCAGCGCTTTCGAGCGGTCTCGTGTGAACGGACACGTTTCTGGTGCCTGTTGCGTGTGGACGGAAGACTTTTTTGATAACGATTGCGGTCCGTTATCGATATTGTCCTCGCGTGGCAAGGGCTTAAGTGACTGAAGAGGGAGTTTAGTGAGTGAGGGGGATTAGGTGATGCAGAGTGCAGGAATGAGCCTCTACTACAGTGTGAACAGTACTTAAGAGCAGGAATGTGAATGGTTTACATGTTTAAAGAGGGCTGGGAGAGGCAAAGAGCACAAGAAGAATTACAAAAGAATCAGAAAACATTCTATACTTTGTTATGAAAAGCTGTGAGCCTGAGCTATGGAGACCTTGAACTCTGTCTCTCTGGATAAAGGGATCCATTACAAACACAACATCTACTGGTGTCAATAAGCATATTCCTTGTTTGTCACAGCTTCTAACCAAAACCTGTGATTTTGTAGCAGCCAACTGGGATATCTGAAAAGGCATTTGACAGTAAAAGGTGACTTGCAGGAAAGTTATTGTGCCAAATAAAAGAAAAATGTTAACTGTCACTGTGTTGCATTCTTGACTACTAGAAGCAGACACTTCCATTATCACTGCATACAAAGGTAATGCCAACCTAATCATTTCAATAATGGCTTCATTCAATTTTGGTTGACTTGTGATTTAGGAATTAAAACTCCTAAATCACACTATATACTTATCTTAACAATAATTAACCTTATGAATAGTTTATACTCTCACAAAATGATAGTTGTGGTGTTTAATGTCACGCAATCAGTTCATTGTTGGTGTGTTCCGTTAACTGTTTTGAACCCTCTTCATTATTATTCTTTATTTTCCTGCAGATATGCAGCTGAATTACGCTGCCATGGCTGACTGTGACACCTGAATAGAAGGTAACCAATGTTATTGCTATATATTATATTCTATGCCTTAAATATTATATCAAGTACGCTGTGAAAAAGGCCCCCGCTCCAGTGTGTATGTGCATGTACAGATCTGGCTCACCCTCATGTTGGTTGCAGCTCATTCAGTGGAGATAACTGACATCTGCACAACTTGTGTGATGAGCCCTTAAACTAGGCTTTCCATATAAATATAGTAGTGATGGTGTGTGTTGCAGACATTCACCTCTGGCTTCGGTTGGTGCCGTGGTGATGCTGGTGGTGTGGGGCGCCGTTGAAGACTCCCCGATGCCGCAGCTCTCAGCGACCCTCTGACCTGCCAACATCGCCTTCAGAGTCTGGAAGACCGCTTGAGGAGCCACGTTCATCTTTAACAGGTCCACTATGATCCTGGGGTGGGGGAGGAAAATGTGAAATCAGAGTTCCTGTTTATGAGTCCATATGCACTACAGTCACATTTCTGCTGATTATATTCAGTGGCGGAAGAAGTATTCAGACGCTTTACTTGAGTAAAAGTACCAATTGATTATTGTCAAAATAAAAATGGTAAAAGTCTGGATTCATATGCTAGCTTACAAAGTATTACATGTACTTAAAGTGTAACAAGTCAAAGTAATCTTTGTGCAGAAAAATGACCTTTATGTGTGTAAATAATTATATTTATAAATGTGACATTTCTAGATAGTATTGTTGCATCAAAGTAGGATTTTATTGCTCATTGGTCACTTGCAACATTCCCTTGCATTATTTTATTTCTTTGTTTCTTTTTGCACAATTTGTTATTGTTTTATGTCTAATATATATTTATGTTGCATTGTTGAAGGAGCCTGGGACTTCAGGTATTAATTCCATACTGTTCCAACTGTGCATATGACAATATGAATCTTTAAAAAACAGTATACATCAATTGTTGTAGCCAAACAAAGTTCTGATTGAATTTTTTTTTTGGAAAATATTTAAATCATCACAAAACTCTTTTGTGACTTAAAAGAGATGCCATTTGTTAAAGGTAGGTACAGCTGTTAAATAAATGTAGTGGAGTAGAATTACATGAATTCCTTCTAAATGTAGTGGAGTAGAAGTATATAGCATTACATGGAAATACTCAGGTAACAAGTACCTCAACATTGTACTTAAGTACAGTACAAGTACTTAGTTACTTCCCCCTGTGACTGCACCTACTTGAAGACCTCCTGGTCCATGGTGACCCCCGCAGCCTGGGTCAGCTCGAACAGCTCCGCCTCCTCCACGCTCAGGACCTTCTTCTTCTTGATGGCATATTTCTGCACGTTGCTGGTGACCAGCAGCGCGGGGGAGTCCGGGGCGGGGGGGGCCGTCTGCTGAGACATCACTGATACCTGAGGCAGGTGGATCTGAAAGACTGAAGAGGATACAGATGGGGAAGTTATTAAAGACACTGGGTCAATAGTGCTGTATTGTTTCCAGTTGCCCGCCCTGAATGAACACATGGAGGAACTACTTTATTTCATACTCCTCTATTACATACACGTAACGACAAACGACTATTTTAATACATTGAAACACCTACCGTTAAAATAACAGTTATTAGTTGACGGTAAGAGTAGAGTTCCGTTAGCTAAAAACTGTCCCTCTTGCTAGATCCAGGAGAGTCGCGTCAACAATACGTCATCAACACAAGACAAACAGTGTGACTTCTTCGCTGTGATGTGCATACAAATAAATTGATTCCCTCAGATATGATATGATTATGCTGTTTTCATTCCGATTTTTCTGTATTAATCAGGTATCAGTCAAGTCAATGCGTAAACAATACTTTAAAGTAATGCGCATGCGCTTCAAAGAAGAAAGACGATAACTGTATACATTCTTTTTTAATTCAAATGTTTTATTGTCATATGTACAGTAGCAACACTGCGGAATGAAAAAGTCCCAGACTTCTTCAACAATGCAGCATATATAAGACATAAAACATAAAAAATAGTGTAAAGAAACAAAGAAATAAAATAGTGCAAGAGAATGTTGCAAGTGAACAATAAAGTAATGCAGGAGCAGTGAACTATGTACATGTGGAATAGAATACAATTAGCTAAAAACGGAATGCAGACAGTTGTGGACACCTCACATGTTTGTTCCACTTTTTTGCTGTTTAAACATGAATCAAAACATGAATACAAAATAAATAAATGAATGAATACCATAGACTGTATATATAAAGATGAATACACAACACAGAAGACGAAAGAACGGCATATGTCTCACCGAACGAAACCGGAAGTACTTGGGGGATTCTCCTCTCGCACCTGCTCAGTCATCTGCGCTGTCGTCCAAGAATGGCCGCTGCTGCAGCAGGAATAAACAAGCAGGGCGCCCTAGCGACGATGGAGCCCTGCATCAGACACGGGAGGGGGGCTCACGGAGGCAACGTCAAGGTTGGTGTAATGTCATTAAAATACACTGCCGTGTTATGTTCGATGTGATCGTGTTGTTTCGTTAGTTTGCTCCATGGATCGACAGTCATTTCGTCTTCGTGGATTCTGATTTGGCTGCTGCGTTGGCGTTGGTGTCAGTGGATGCCAAACAGTCGGCTAGATTTGGCAGGAAAATAATAGTAAAAATGAGAAGAATGTTATTGCTTGTGTGTTTTTTGTAATCGACTTGGCTATATTCGTGCAAAATCCCAGCCTGGTGTTTGTGTTTGCAGTATGCTAGCAGTCTACCAGCTGGCGTCATAGCTGAGAGGTGGACTGCCTCAGTAACGGGATAGATTTTAAAAGTATCTGCACAGTGTTCATGCAAGCAGGGCACAAAATAAGCCCCTGCCAAATCCTGAAAGAGTATGCAAGTGGTTGTTACATTTGCTCAATTAACCAGATGCAAAAGAAGTAATCTATTGAGTTGCTGGTAATATATCACAAGTCATTTGGCCGGTTGTCAAAAAAGTTGTTAAAACCGGCCCCTCTCAAAATTGCTCTTAGCAGATGTCAAAATAGCATTTATCGAAGATCACAGTTATAAATCAGGAGGGTTAACCATCTTACATGCTATGAGTGGAGCAGACTGAATCTCACACACATTCAGAGACTCTTAATCTATACGACTCCTGTATTCTCTTTAAGTCCTTGTTGTGCATCAATCTGCATGCACATAGGGGATACATTGTAAAATCAGTGCCAACTTCCCGATATATCTTTCCTCTGACTTTATCTGCAGCAGTGACTGTCAAAGACAAGGTTGTCAATACATGTTTTCTCACCTACAGGTGCTGGAGTGTGGTGTGTGTGAGGATGTCTTCTCTCTGCAGGGGGACAAGGTCCCTCGTCTGCTGCTCTGTGGGCACACAGTGTGCCATGATTGCCTCACCCGGCTGCCTCTCCATGGAAGAGCGGTCCGCTGTCCCTTCGACAGACAGGTCACTGAGCTGGGTGAGTAAGGGTGCATAATAAAATATTCAACTCCTGTTGTGGATTTTTAGGCATTTTCTGTTTCGAAATATCTTGGCCAGTCTTTGCTCAGTATAAATCAGAGAAGCCATGAGCATTTACACACCAAAAAGCATGAACATCAAGCCATAAAAGTCCATATCTTTTTCTGTAAGTATTATTAAGACTGTTTTCTCTGTTTGGAAGTAAAACTATTAACCTTTTGATGTCCTTTTGTCTTCAAGTTTATCCTTTTTACTCCACATCTGTTTAGGTGACTCTGGAGTTTGGGGTCTGAAGAAGAACTTTGCTTTGCTTGAGCTCTTGGAGCGTCTCCAGAATGGAGCCAGCAACCAGTCAGGAATGGCAGAGGATGTTCTGAAAGGCATGGGAGAAGTAAGGAAACCCATAAATCAGATCAAATATCACCATCACAACTACAGCACCTTTCACTCACAGTTCTTCTTTTCCACTAGTGTATAATCCGGTGTGATGAGGATGAGAGCCACACGGCCTCCATGTACTGCACCGTGTGTGCCACCCACCTGTGTGCCGAGTGCTCCCAGCACACCCACTCCACCCGGACGCTGGCCAAACACCGCCGGGTGCCGTTGGCGGACAAACCTCACGAGAAGACCCTCTGCCCGCAGCATCAGGTCCACGCCATCGAGTTTGTCTGCCTGGAGGAGGCCTGCCAGTCCGGGCCCCTCATGTGCTGTGTGTGCAAGGAGTACGGCAAGCACCAGGGACACAAGGTAGGATCAAATAAACTACAGTTGAACTCCTGTTAGATATCCTCATCTAGAGAGGCATGCTCATGTGTTCACCATTTCTCTTTTTCAGCACACTGTTCTTGAGACTGAAGCGAATCAGATCCGGGCGTCCATTTTGGACATGGCCCACTGCATTCGCTCCTTCACAGATGAAGTGTCCGAGTACTCCAGGAAGCTGGTGGGCATCGTGCAGCAAATAGAGGGTGGAGAGCAGATAGTAGAGGACGGAATAGGCATGGTGCACACTGAACATGTAAGGATTTGACTGAGAAATCTAAAATGTTTAGTTAGATTTAAAGTAGGTGGTTAACCGGTAAAACTTTAATTAAGAATCTGAACTATTATTCTCTATTTTAAATGAATATTAATACATTGTTAGCTTCGTTTTTATTGTCATGTATCATCTGAGCCTTTTTCTGTTATTTTGAAACATTGAGTCTACCTCTGTTCTATAAAATGCGCTTTATAAATACATTTGACTTGACTTCCTGCCTCCGTCAGGTCCCCGGCACAGCGGAGAGTGCGCGGTCCTGTGTGCGGGCGTACTTTGCAGACCTCCACGAGACCCTGTGCCGGCAGGAGGAGATGGCGCTGAGCGTGGTGGACGCTCACGTCAGGGAGAGGCTGATCTGGCTGAGGCAGCAGCAGGAGGACATGACCATCCTGCTGTCCCAGGTCTCCACCGCCTGCCTGCACTGCGAGAAGACTCTGCAGCAGGTAGGAGACGCCACACACACACCCAAATAAATACCGTGATCTTTTTAAGAAAGAAGAAAAGTTTCAATGAGTACCTCAGTATTTTTCATCCTGGACCCTATAAACATTTTATTTTAAATCTAATTAACTAAAAATAAACCATTTTTAAATATGGTGCAGTAAGGAAAGGCGCTGCATACATCAGATTCTAAACGCACTGCATTTTAATAGTGCAATAAACGTCCACTAATATGGCAGTTTTTGCGCTAACAGGATTAGATTATTATATATATATATATATATATATATATGACATAATTTGGAAAGGACCCTACAGATAGATCATATTTTCTTTATTTTTTGTTTTATCCAGTTACCCTTTTTTTTTGGGCCTCTATATCTGATACTCATACGATATAGTGATATCTCTGACATATGTTGCTTCTCTCCTGCTGCAGGATGACTGCAGGGTGGTGCTGTCTAAGCAGGAGATCAACTGTTTGCTGGAGACGCTTCAGAAGCAGCAGCATCAGTTCACAGAGCTGGCAGATCACATTCAGCTGGACGCTGGCATCCCTGTCACCTTCACCAAGGTACACACTATCCACCATGACTGTGTCTCCTGCTGGTCTGCATGGAGCAGCAAAGAATTGCTTCACTAATAGTTCAGATGTTGACTTTGTTTTAATATGTCGCAATATGTTGTTGTTTCAGGACAACCGGGTCCACATCGGCCCCAAGATGGAGATCCGTGTTGTAACTCTTGGGCTAGACGGAGCTGGTAAAACCACCATCCTCTTCAAGCTCAAACAAGATGAGTTCATGCAACCCATCCCCACTATTGGTAAATGCATCTATAGTATAATCAGATTGTAATTATTCTACATAAATACAAAGATTTTGCTCTTAAAAAAAAAAAAGCTTGTTCTCTGTTTTTGTCAAAGGTTTCAATGTGGAGACGGTTGAATATAAGAACTTGAAATTCACCATCTGGGACGTGGGTGGCAAACATAAGCTCAGACCGCTGTGGAAACACTATTATCTGAACACCCAAGGTACTGTTGGTGCTCTATATACTTTGAATATCGTGTTTAATGTTATTCTAAATGTCACGTACAGCTTTTATAGCACAGGGTAAACACATTTCAATATAGGTTTTCATATTGTTTTTATTTTTCACTTCATCCCTTTTGTACTCTGCTTCTCCGTGCAGCGGTGGTGTTTGTGATTGACAGCTGCCACAGGGACAGACTGATGGAGGCTCACAGCGAGTTGGCCAAACTACTGACGGAGAAGGAGCTGAGAGATGCCTTGTTGCTCATCTTTGCAAACAAACAGGTAAAGGGAATAATGATAATGCTTGTTTTTACACCATACAGCTGTCCCATATTTTCTCTCGTATCTTTTTGCAGATATTTGCATTACTTATATAGTTTACAACATACAGAAACTCGTTATTTACTTATGTGCATTGTTAGTCCATGGCGGCTTTTTATATATATCCTTTTTCTTCCAAAAACCTCTGTGTACTTAAATGCTATTTATTCCTAACATTTATTTGTCCAGCATTGTTTTCCTTATTCTAATCTGTTATATATATATATATGAATATATATAATATGAGTATGCTGCTCATGCTCTTTCTGCATGTCATGTATTTATTTTTGCTATGTATATAAACGTCATGTTCTTGTATGTTGTATGTGAGGGGACTGCGGATGGAAATTAGCTTAAAGCTAAAATCCGGCTCATTTACGCTTGTAAGCATTGTTTTGTTTTAAAGTGTTCATCGATGTGCACTGTCCCGGTTCAAATAAACGATTAAATGAAATGAAAAAATATCTATTTCTGTTCATGTACATTAAGGAGTGCAAAAACAGGAGGGGAATTCCTCTTGTGTGCACCGATACTCTGCAAATAAATCTGATTCTGCTGTGAATAACCTTGTCTTAGCTCAGACAGAGTTGATGATCAGTTTGCATGTCTGCAGGACGTCCCCGGGGTGGTGTCGGTGGAGGAGATGACAGAGCTGCTGAGCCTCCACAAGCTGTGCTGTGGGCGGAGCTGGCACATCCAGGGCTGCGACGCCCGCAGTGGGATGGGTCTCCACGAGGGGCTGGACTGGCTCTCCAGACAGCTGGTGGCTGCCGGGGTCCTGGACGTCGCCTAAATGTAAAACATCTATTCTGGCCCAAACTGACTCTCCCCTAACAACCGAACCCTAACCCCCCCCAGCCTTTGCTCAATTCCAAATATTAACTCCTCAGACTGCGGCTTTAAGCCTCCTCATCTTCCCCTCTTTGTGCCCCAATGTGGGCAAAGGAAATAAAGATGTAAATACTTTCTCTCACTTCACTGAATCAGAACGGAAACTACAAAACCCTCCTAGCCTGAGAAATAAACTCACTTTCCCCCAAAACCTGAATTAAAACTCCCATCATGCTTCTTCTCTAAGGCAGCTTACACGGTCCAGCACATTGCTTACTGTTCTTTGTTCAAACCTTTTTTCTATTAACCAGCTGTTTATCTGGCACCTATAGCTAGCTGATTTTAGTCCAGTGTTAATAATGCTCCTTGTGCCCTGACAGTGAACTCTGTGTTTTCTATCTCAAGCTATTCATCATAACCACCTCCATGTGTGACAGTAATCCCGACTAAATGCAAAGTAGTCTGTATTTGTAGTGATCGTATACCTTCTGTTGATTCAGTATACTCCTGAGAAATAACTTTAGCTACATTCAGCATATTTGCAGGTGAGATGGGACAGACATGTTCAATATGACTTCCAGTGGCTTCAAACAGGTCAAATGTTCAGTTTGGCTCTTTTCTCACTTTGCCTTGACACATGTTAGCAATAGTGGTTGATGTTTCATGGGGTCTGTGTTTTTTTTTTTAAGTGTACTGTTTGAACCTATTTAATTCCACAGCTGTTCTTGTTTTCTGTTACAGAACGAACTGTTTACTGAACTTATTTATGAGCGGGAATGTTACTTTGATATGAGGCTTTAGGGAGAAACTCAGTTTTATGCACCGATTCTGCCTCCGTTTTGTGGAGTCTCGCACCCAGAATGTGTTGAATACACTCGTTTGCTGCATCACTACCATTTTTTATTTGGAAGCAAATTAACCATCTGCCGTTTCGTAGTAGACTTGAGTTTTAATCTCACTGAAAATATCTATTCAAACATCTCACAAGTCCTGTTTATTAGTGTTTCAGAGTGCTTCAGAGATGGTACATCTTTTAATCAGCAGCCTTCAGTAATAAATGTAATGTGAAGCCTAACACTCACACTTGTCTCGGTATTAGGGACCCATCATTGGACTTTGATTTAATCTTTATTCATTGCTATGTAATGTTAACATGTACCTATATATAAAAATACTAATAAAGAAAAAAAATGCACGTGTTAAAAAAGCCTTTCTGCAGTTTGTGAAAACATTTCCATTTGTTTTTGAACATAGAAGCACAAGGCACATCAAACCTTTGTTACAGTGGACTTGATAATGGCTTTTGTAAATGATTCATAATGTGTTGCTGTTAAATAAACTAATTGACCTTATTTGTGTGGTTTGAGGCTTCTTCTTTGAGCGATTACCAACTAAAAATACTATTCTCACTTGTCTCTTTCAAAGCATTCTTTAATAACTCTTTCTGGTAAAAAACGAAACATCACTGTACAGGACGCGATTAAGACACACGATCACTTTACAGTGATGTTGATGATGCTGATGTCTTCATACGGTTTGTCGGTCTTGGGGTTGATTTTGACATTGGAGATCCTCTGGACGGCCTCCATGCCCTTCACGCATCTTCCAAACACGGTGTGCTTGTTGTCGAGCCAAGGCTGAAGGCAAAAACAAAGAGCACATTAAACATTTATTATTAAGATATTCAAGCCATTTTCAGGGATGAAATCTGAAATTGTAACCTATTTATACAGTTTGTCAACAGCCGTGCGTCACTTTGGGACGCTATTTTAATCAATTTACCCCACTGTGGTTTGTCAAAGTTTTACTGTTGCTTAGTCAATTATATTCTTGATACAAAACCGTAAAACTAAAGATTTGTAATAGTATTATGTTTATGTTAAGTAGTAAGATAGATATCAATACCGTGAGAATTTGAAATGCAGCAGGGTTTCTCTTTTGCCCATTTTTGACAACCTATTCTCTGACTAATCTAACATGAACATTGGTTTTGTCTGCTCACAATGTTTCATAGTATATTAAACTGATTTAATTGTCTTTAGGCATTAGAGACCGTTACAGAAATAGTTTAAGATGAGAGGTGCTGGTGGGCTGATTTAGTCAGGCGAACTTAGCCTAACCTTCTGCTAGCTGCAGCTTCATATTAACAGTAAAAGAGGGTATATTTATCTTCTCATCTTACTCTGTGTTCTTGAAAAGGCAGAATAAGACATGCATTCAACCTCTGTGCATGTGTCATTTTGGGCTGCTGTAGCCTTTATGGGAATCTGATGGCATTCACTTCCGACTGAAGCAAGGCTGGAAATGTGAAACCACTGCATGTCCAACTTGGTGAAAATGTCTTAGCCACTTTTAAAGACAACTGGCTTGAGGCTCCTATCTAAACACAAACAACTTCCAGAACATTAAAGGAATGTGTCTGAAATGGGTCTAAGATGGTTTGCCATTGTGAAGTGTAAACTTACAGTTGGAACAACAGTGATGAAGAACTGTGCGCCGTTGGTGCCTGGGCCTCCGTTTGCCATACTGAGTGTGTACGGGCGGTCGTGTCTCAGCGTGGAGTGGAACTCGTCCTCAAACTCTCCCCCCCAGATGCTCTCTCCTCCCATGCCTGTGCCTGTGGGGTCTCCTGTCTGGATCATAAAACCCTGAGCACAAAGACACAGATTTAGATGCAGCTCAGTCAGATGATTATATCTGACTGACCACAGAGGAAAACTCACCTTGATTACTCTGTGGAATATATGTCCGTTGAAGTAGCTGTTCCTGCTGTGAACACAGAAGTTCTCCACCGTTTTGGGGCATCTAGGGGAAAAAATTAAAATACTACTGTTAATATATTTTCAGTTGTAAAGAGATTTCTGAAGACCTGAAAGAAGTGTTAACGTACTCCACGGGGAACAGCTTGATGTGGATGTCTCCCATGGTGGTGTGGATGATGGCGCTGTCGGACACTCTCTTGGGGCCCTCGGCCTGAGTGGCAGCCATCACTTCCTCCTTTGAGGGCTTCTCGTTGAAGATGTCTCTGTCCGAGTCAGCACTCTTTGTATCCTCTGGTTCTCTCTTTGAGAACTGAAGGAAGGGAACAAACGTATTTAGACATATAGTATAACTAAATATGTAGCTGTATCATTTTAGATTTGAATGTCAAGTTTTCTCACCATGTAGAAGCGGTTCTTCTTAAACGCGGTGCAGAAGATGGTGGGGTCCGGCATGGCGTTGTCTAAGGCGGGGTTGTCACATGCTTTCATCTCAACAGTGGGAGCCACATGCGTGGCTTTAGCGATCCCCTGGAACAGACTCAGCTGCACCACACGGACGTTCTCCAGCTTCCCGAAGATCCGCACACATCTGAGGAGCAAAATCATAATTGATCTCAATATATCAATATATACTTGACCTCAAGGTTTAATTAACCAACCATCTCCAAAATCAATTGTTAACTCTTTCCACCCAACGAAAGGAGCATATGCAGGTTATTTTGAAACGAAGAAAACCAGCTTAAAAAAGGTAATTCATTTGAGTCTCTTTCAAAAAACACTAACAACGGAAGTTTTCATTGGTCTTTAATGTTGTTTCAGTAGAGTCTAAAGGAAGTGTGTTTTATGATGAACGTACAATTATTGTTGTCTGACTGGAGTTTGGTAGCTTTGAGTAGAAAAGCTTAGAGCCAAAAAAGAAGCAAAAATATGCAGGACCATAACTTCTCATCCGGCTGAAGCAAATCAATACTTGTGACTATTGCAAAAAACAACAACAAATGCCTCTTAAATTCCAGGTAAATACAAAAGCCAGATTTTTGTGTGTGGGTTTGTGTCCAGCAGGAAAGTGGCTTTAAAGACAGTTGCCCCTTAGACCCCATTTACACGCAAACGCACACGAAATGCAAACGAACCGAATACGATATCAAAAAAGTCTTCCGTTCACACGAGACCGCTGGAGACGCTGTAGTACATATGCCGGGCCTGTAAGTGGCGCTGTACTTTCGCCACAAAATACACCAAAAGCAGCGAAGAAGACCCCCGAGCATGGTTGCCCTTATGTTTATGCCCCGCGGTGGATTTAGCAACATGTAGTAGTTCATGTAATTCTCCATGTCCACTTGTTGCTGATGGTTGTGGTAGAGGAGCTGTAGATTTTGCACTAACATCTGTAGCATGGTCAGTAGCAGTAGCACTAGCAGTAGCTACTGACAGTAGCTACTGGCCATGCTACAGCAGTGAGCAGCAGAGGTGGGGAGAGGTGGGGCTATGGCTTCATCGTTATCAGAAAATGATTGTATAGGGCGTACACATGGAGCCGTTTGGCCCCCCAGAGCTTTCCGTCCGCAGATCTATCCACCTTGGGACCCGTTATCGTTTGCGGGGTCCGTTTGCAGGGTCCGTTTCCGCGTTTCCGTTACGGCCTCGTGTGAACGAACAGGCTATACGAAAGAGAAAAGTAGCGGATACAACCGTTTGCGTTCTCGTGTAAACAGCACATTATATGAACGCACCTGTTGGTTTCCACATTGATGACTTTGATGCCCAGCATGGTGCCGTAGAGCACAAAGTGACCGGTTTCATCAAAGATTATGTTTGTCAGCCGGATCCCGTCCACCTTCTCCAGTTCTCTCTCCACGGCCATCCGCCTCCCGAACTCCATGTCAGGGAGCTGCTGCCTCATCTGCTGCAGCTCTGTGAACATCTAACATACGAAGCAGCAGTGATAAGCATGTGAATTAGACACATCATTAAAAGCTGAGGTTGAGTGACGTGTGAGTACTTACAGATAATGATTCATCAAACACTCTCATCAGTTTTCCTGTCAGGAAGCGGAAGATACGGACTTTCCTGTCAGAAGCAATGGTGGCCATTTTCTTCCCGTCAGGAGAAAATGTAAGGCTGGTGGGATAGGTTTTGTGTTTTGCAAATTCATACAAGTCTGTGTCTGTTTTGTATTCCCAATGCACATATTTGGGGAACTTGAACTCATTTCGGAGGCCAGTCCAGTACTCCAACATTCCTGCTTTGTCAGCAGAGACGATGACCCTAAATTTGGGATTCAGGCGGATTTGGGACAGCGGGGAGGCGTGCATCTTGTCGAAGATGTGAAGGGGCTCGTTGCTTCCCCTTCCGTCATAGACAAAGATCTTCCCTGTCGATTTTTCCGAGCAGGCTATCGTGCAAATGGCATCTCCAGGATTGTACACCCACTCTGACTGGCCTGGGTGAAAGCTTCACAGAGGAAGGATAAATGTCATGTTACAGTGGGGAAAAAAGTGTCCAGAATCTTAGTAAACATTTCATTCCTAAACATGCACAAATACAGTACATTAACCTACCCCAACTTCAGCATATTGATCATGTCAAAGTTGACCACATCAAATACTTTCATGGCCTGATCATCACCAACAGTACAGAGAAGAGCCCCTTCCGAACTGACTGCAATGCTTTCAATCACACCTGCAAAAACACATACAAAAACAAAGTTTACAATACGAAGTGCAAACACTAAAATATATTTAAGGGAAATAATCACGTTTCCTTTTTCCATTAATAAACAATCAGTGAGAAGTGGTAAATTAAAAATCATACCAAGATGGCTTCGAAAGTGCTTGACAAACTCTATTCCCTCATCTTCCCTCTTCTTCCAAAACTTGACATGGCCATCCTGGCTGGCGGTGATAATGAAGTCTGTCCTGAAAATGAAATATGTTGTTTCATTAGAAGCAAACCCTGGGGCAGAAGAAGAAATAAAGTAATGCTCACCTGCATACATACTATAAATAAGATGTGGTCATAATTGTGTAGGAAAAGCTTTTATATGATTTAATAAGAGTGATTTGAGAGACATTCACATCAAATAACACACTAAATTAAAGTTTGAAGTATATTGACCATGGCACAGTCTTTTGTCACCAGTTTATTGCGTTCTTTTGAGATGAATCATGAATGTTTGCACTTGATTAGCACAAAATACATGCTATTAATACTGTACTGATAATTGAGCCACACCATTTTAACTGTAACTGAATAATAGACAGCAGTATAATCCCTGTTACTTTGCAAATCTCCTTTATCAGTTTTGCATGATAATTAGTCTTGGAAATATTGTAAGTGGACATAATAAACTAAGTAAGCTGTCCCATATGGGTGAAGTATGTTGTGTCTAATGTAATAGTTAAGTTTGTTGGGCATGCACTTACTTGGAACACACTATGTGTGTGATAACGTCTCTGTGCATGTAGCTCCGTTCATACATTGCAGCTGAGGGCAGGTTGTCCAGGTAAACACGCTCATATTCCAGTACTGAGGATATAAACAAAACAAACACACAAGAGTTAGCGGGAGTTTTGTTAGCATGGTTAGCATTGTTTAGCAGAAGCTACAAATGAATACAAAATGTGGCGAAGGCTCTAACTGCCATAAACAAACCTTTTCTTTTCTTGGGCTGGGAGGCTTCGTTTGGCATGGGTCCGACCCACTCCTCTTCTTCTGCATCCCCTTTTTCATCCTGAATGTCTTCTGCTTTTCGCTTGAGCTCCACATTGTTTTCTGCCTCCGCCATTGCTGACAAATCTTCCGCGTCGTGCTTTCGTTGTTACGGCACTTCCGGGCGGCGCGTAGATTTATGGATTTTCTATTACTAGTTCATATCATGCGGGATTTAATTAAACACATAATAATACACATTTTTTAAAAGTTCTATTTTTTCTGAAGAATGTAATTTACGTAGTTTTTTATTGTAGGCACTTTATACACAGATATTAGGGCAACAATGTGTGCTGCTAAAATAACTCGTTTTACAGGTACAAACTAAAATTACATTAGCATTATGGTTCCTTCTTGTTTTCTGCGTTTTTGGAAACAATGTCTGTATAATGGTAATTTCTCAAGTTGAAATATTCAACAATTTATACCTGTAAGGTACTCCTGGAACTAATAGTCCTATTTGTTTCCGAGGGTGCATTTTCATAGAACACTTGGGTTAAACCAAACGTACTTTTTTTCGGGGTTGGTTGAAGAATTCTCTGGGATTGTTTGGCGTCTAGCGCATTTCTGATCGAAATTCCGGTGAATGCATATTCACTGAAAGTTAAATAAATGTAAAGTCACTGATTTTCAAGGTAATATTTAAAAACATAACAAAATATTTAAAAATACTTTATAGAGGACCCCCCACATACTCCGACGTAAACAACCAGCACAATAAGTGTGGAAAACATGGCTGTAGTCACTGAAGTATAATATTTGTCAGTAATTAGGATATTTTAGCAAACATAATCTATCGGGTTATACAACAGTTAGCTATACATTAAGAATCAGAAGGTCTAAAATAAGACCATTTTCATCTTCTGACTGCAAAGCTCGGCGGCAGAATGAGCAATATTTACATCCAAGAACCACCATCAAATGGAAAGGTGAGCGCAATTGTAACTTAAATTCCTCTTTGTGCAAACACGATATATCACTATATCATTTACTTTTAAACTGTATAACATTGATTATGTTTACCTACGTTGCACGATTAATCGACAACAACATGGTTATAATATCTTGTTTGTAATGCTTCTACTTGTGATGCTTTCTTAGGTCCTGTTGAAGACCACAGCAGGCGACATTGACATTGAGTTGTGGTCCAAGGAGGCTCCTAAAGCATGCAGGAACTTTGTGCAACTGTGCATGGAAGGTAAGAATTCAAAGCTAGCTAAAACACTCTTAAGATAATGCAGAATACAAAAACAACAAGACCAGTCATTGCAGCAACACTAGCCACCCACACCTGTAAAATAAAGGGTTATCTAATTGTCTTGTATGTCTCCTCTAGGTTACTATGATAGCACAATGTTTCACAGAGTGGTGCGTGAGTTCATTGTTCAGGGGGGAGATCCCACTGGAACAGGGACAGGTGGAGAGTCCGTCTATGGACGAGCATTCAAGGCAAGACTTCTGCACTAATTCTGTGTATAGATGTTAAAACCAAAAGGATTAATAAGTACAAATCATTCTAAGGTCATGTTAACCTACAGTACTAACCCCTATGCAAAGTCAACCATTAAAGGATTGAGCTGAGATTTAAATAAAATAACCTTTGAATACATGTGTCTTTTTACATTTTTAGGATGAATTTCACTCCAGGTTGCGCTTCAATCGGAGAGGTTTGGTGGCCATGGCAAATGCTGGCCCACATGATAATGGCAGTCAGTTTTTCTTCACCTTGGGACGTGCAGATGAACTCAACAATAAACACACCATATTCGGCAAGGTGAATCTGAGAAACTGGAGAAATTTATATAAATATTTCCTGTGGATCTATGGAAATCCTGTGCCTGCCACATGCATGGACCCAGATCAGCAACAGATCAGTTAATGAGTACTCAACGTCATGCTTTTCCCCAACAATGCCCACTGCAGGTCACCGGAGACACGGTCTACAATATGCTCAGATTGGCAGAAGTTGAATGTGACGATGACGAAAGACCCTTGAATCCCCACAAGATAAAAATTACTGAGGTATTTTTCTTTCTTCAACTACTTTTTTATTTGCTTGACAGCTTTATGGTGTCTTTGATTTAAGTACTGATGTTAAAACACGTTTTGTGTCTTCCAGGTGCTTCACTCTCCTTTTGATGACATTATACCTCGGGAAACAAGGAAATCCAAAAAGGATAAAGATAAAGAGGAGTCAAAGAAATCACAGTCGAAAGCCACAAAGTGAGTGCTTGAATTTTATCTGTCTCACTGAGTGTATCTACGGCATAAACATGACATCAGATCAGACCTAAACAGATATAATAATATATGTAAATAGTTCCTCTCCTCTTTGCTCCTGGCTCTTATTATTTTCCATCTTTTGTCATTTGGTTGCAAAGCTTACCCTCAATCGTGGCTGCATGTGTTGTTGTTATCGATGCATTTATGCTGACTGTGTGGTTTTTTCGTAGGAACTTCAGTCTGTTATCATTTGGAGAGGAAGCTGAAGAGGAAGAGGAGATGGCGAATCAAGTGAGCCAGGTACTGAAGGCCAAAACTAGTCGCCCGATTTGCTGCCAATGAAATGGCTGTGAAATTATTTTCCTATTTTTTTTAAGGGTTCCCAGACAGAGAGACAGACAGACACATTCAATGTATTTATCCCAAACCGGGGAATTATTAAATATTCATATCTATTAACTGTTCAACAGACCATTACAACTGACCACATCTGCCATTGACTCTGACAGTCAGACACACTCAACATCTGTAGGGATTGCATTACCAAAGCATGTTCTATGTCATAAAATTGCCAGAATAAATCCTGTAGTCTTGTCTTCAAATATCATTTAATTGTTACAACCTGACTACATCTGTAATCCATGTCTATCGTATTTAAGTTGTTTAAATCGTATACATTTAAGTATAAAAAGTTAGTGTGTGTGCGCCATTACATTTATTTTTGGTTTCAAATTATTTTCTATTAAAATGAAATGGAAGATTCAGAATATTTAAATAATGCAAAATGGGAGAAAACTAAATCATTATCCTACTATTGTTTCTTCAGACACTTAAGGGAAAAAGCAAGAGCAGCCATGACCTTCTGAAAGATGATCCCAGACTGAGCTCTGTTCCTGCTGTTGATAAGTATGTGTAATGAATAATACTAATAATTGTACATTAAGCACCTTCTCCTACATTTATAATCCTTGTCCTTTTACCTTGAAGGAAAAAAAAGAAGCGTATACCAGGAGAGACAGCTGAGGTAAGTCCAACACTGTCAAATCTCCTTTGCCCCAAAGCAAAGTTTATTTTCTCTCTGATTTTAAATGTCTTTGTGTTCTGTCTCTCAGACAGACGATAAGGCCGATGGTGATGTTGAAGATGACGTGGATTCAGACGAAGAGTATGACTCAGATGAGAGGCAGAAGACGAGAGAAATCATCAGCAACAAGCTAAAGAAATTAAAAAGCGAAGAGAAAGCGACAGATGACGAAGAGCGAGGGAAAAAGCCCAGCCGCAGGTATGACTACATGATTCTGACCCGAGTGAGTTAACATATCATCTGTATCCAACAGAGGGCAGGTTTGTTTAATAAATAGTCTGCAAGCTTTTTGATTGTGTAATTGTTCAACTTGTAATGATGCGTAACAACATGATGGGGGAGCTGTTGAACTGCGTTATACAGAGCAAAAGGAATCACAAGCAGCCCTCCTGTTTCATGAGTACAATAAGATGAGAAGAGACCATCCAAACTTGATTTTACATAGCTGAATTTAGTAAATCCACAAAGGGAGGGAGAGCTTCATTTTCTAAAATGTACAAACACTGAGTTAAGGTTGCAGCTTATGGTGGTATATGGTTATTAATTCAATCTTCAGTCTGTTAAAAGTCAAGAACAATCGTGAAATCGTGTCTGCTTAAGACTTAGCTAATCTTTAAGTATCATTACCAAATGAACAAATCCAATCCTACAAATTGAAGAAGTATTATTTACTACTTTTTCTGAAACAGCAAATACTTCTGTTTCTCTGATTAGGCCGTGGTTGGATTTCCAAAGCGCTATACTGTTTAAAATTGGTGTTTTTCAACACATGTGCTTCACTCAAATCTTGCACATTTCAAACCTTCAGGTTCAAAAAGCTTCAAAAATCCTAGATATCAAATTTACAACATTACATGATACTGAATCTCACAGTAAGTTCCCAAGTATTACCAACAGCATACATTTGTGATGTCATGTTGAAGGGCTACTTCATCAATTTAGAATTGCACTTTGAAGTTGGGGAACTCAAAAAATAAAGATTTTTTAAAAGAAAGGTCAAAGCATAGACAAAATATCCTGTCTTTGAGTTCCTAATATGGGTTGAGCTCCAAAAACACCAGGTACTTAATTTCCCAGCGCAATTTAGGTGCTGTTTACACAGGAATGAAACGGGTTGTATCCGCTACTTTTCTCTTTCGTATAGCCCGTTCGTTCACACAAGGCCATAACGGAACCGCAGAAACGGACCCCTAAAACGATAACGGGTCCCAAGGTGGATAGATCTGCGGACGGAACGCTCTGGGGGTCCAAACGGCTCCGTGTGTACGTCCTATACGATCATTTCCTGATAACGATGTAGCCATAGCCCCGCCTCTCCCCACGTCTGCTGCTCACTGCTGTAGCATGGTCAGTAGCTACTGGCTACTGCTACTGCTACTGCTACAGACCATGCTACCAGGGCTGCCAACACTCACGCATTGAGCGTGAGAGTCACGCAATTAACCCATATCTCACGCACTCACGCCACACTTGCCTTTCCTCACGCTAAGTTTTCGTCCAAAATAAATGTATATAAATATAAAAATAAAGTGAAGGAACAGCAAACTGAGCGGTCTACGAAATGAGACGGTCTTTTGGCTTAGTTCAGTAAAGTTGGAACGATATTGGGAGATTCTGATTTCACGGATCAATAACTCATGAACAAAACGTTATTCAGTCACAAATGACGTCTCCTAAGTACCGTGGTTAAGGTTGACAACGAACTACAATCACATTTTGAAAAAGAAAAGCCAATATGCGCCGTCCTCCGAGCTGGACACATTACATTGGTCTCTGTCAGGGACCGTCTGCAAAGTGCAACTCCGAAAAAAGAGAATACAATAATATTCAATCACTATTATACAGCTTATTACTACCAAACTCACTACACACATCAAGTCTCCTGGTGGTCATACTACAGCAAGGAGTTTTGAAGAATATGCTTTTGAATAATTTTGGGGAATATTTATAATGTAAATCTTCGATAAATATGGCATCATCTTAAAGAACTTTACTATTATACTATACAGTATATACAGTGAATTGCCCGACCGGCCCACTTCGGTACCGGCCCACCGGGAAAACTCCCGGTATTCCCAATGGCCAGTCCGCCCCTGCCCCTAGAGGAGGTGACACACTTATAAAATAGCACTTTACCTCTGTTTTACACCTATATGCAGCGCCCGGTACATTAATGGGAAACCCTAGTTTGTACATGTTCAATACATTTGTAACACTGTACACATGAACGTTTCTTTTTTCGGTTCACCAAAAAAAAAATCTCACTCCAAGCTGAACTCAAATGTTGGCAGCCCTGTGCTACAGTTAGTGCAAAATCTACAGCTCGACCATGCTACAGATGTTAGTGCAAAATCTACAGCTCCTTTACCACAACCATCAGCAACAAGTGGACATGGAGAACTACATGAACTACATGTTGCTAAATCCACCACGGAGAATAAACAGAAGGGCAACCAGGCAACCATGCTCGGGGGTCTTCTTCGCTGCTTTTGGTGTATTTTGTGGCGGAAGTACAGCGCCACTTACAGGCCCGGCATATGTACTACAGCGGGTCGAGCGGTCTCGTGTGAAGGGACACGTTTATTGAGCCGTATCCGTGTGAACGGAAGACTTTTTTGATATCGAATTCGGTTCGTTTGCGTTTCGTTTGCGTTTGTGTTCCCGTGTAAATGGGGCCTTAAATGCATCTTTAATAAGACGTCTAAAAGACCACTTCTTTCAAACCTCCAGTTTTTATAGCTGGCTGATAATGTTATGCATCATTCTTGCTTGATGAGTAAAGTCACCCATGAGTAAAGTAGGTGGAGTCTCCCTTTTTAAGAAGGTTTAAAAGATATCAGACTCCAAATAAGTCCTGTTTCTCCTTCTTGGTACTTATCTAATTTTCTGCAGCACTTTCATTTGATCAGCATTTAATAATATAATTATTGAGATTACATAAATATGGTGCTCTTGAACGTAGCTCCAGTGTCTCCCCATTTCTCTCGTATCCTGGTGTCATTACCGTGCTCGTATCTACCAGCTCTGTTTCTACACACTTACTTTCACACATGAACACACACACTCACACTCACTGGACCAACATCAGTGGACCTGCGATTTAAAACAGGAATGTTGGCACTCAAACCAAATTACTTACTGTGCTGAAGTAGAAGCAAACAGTGCGTCTGTGTGAGCCAACAGTGTGAGTGAAGTGAAGGTGAGAGTGGAAGGTGATGGTGTGTGTGAGACAACATTAGTCTGAAAATGACCTGAGGAGAAAGGAGAAAGTGATTTATCTTTCATCTCTCTTTGATGCTGGCCAGTTATCTCTGCTCCATATCCTCTTAACAGGTAGCGCTCAACACGCATAATCAACATACCCTTCTCTCATTAGTGCTAATGGGATAAGGAGCAGGGCCCCCAGTCATTTGTGTGTGTATGTGTGTGTGTGTGTGTGTGTGTGTGTCCTGACTGACAGCCAGCCCAATGCAGGCAGACTGTAGTATATTAAACACAAGCGCAGATTGTTTTGCTACAAGAACTGTAACCGAACACAGTGGTTTGTCTTGGCAGGGAATCAAAGAGCAGGCTGGTAGGTACAGTGTTAGCCCGGGACAAAGGGGGCATTGTTGCAGCCTCGCTCTCCCACAGTTGCTTTGCTTTGAGCTGTGAGCCGCTCTGTGCACAACGAGGAACACCAACTAGTATCTAGTCACCTGGGAAAAAGAGGAGAGGATGTTAAAATCAGCCACTTTTTCAATTCTGTCTGATTGAGTTTACTTTGCATTTAACACTCAGATAAACAGTATTTGAAGGAATTGTGTCTGCAGTGTATTCGGCCTCAGTAAGGGGGGACATTTACAACAATGATTGTGTATTTTGTCTTCAAGTCAAGGCTGTTGAGACAACCTTGAAATAAGGAGTCTCCCAGAAACCAAAATATTTTTTCAAAAACTATCCTACGTTGCTTTATTCCACTGCTGAGTTCAGTGGTTGCAAAATGCTTGGACTTGTTCACACTCATGAGCAGTCTGCCACACTGTACGTCGTGGACCAAGAAATGTTAAAACTTCAAAGATGAGTCACAATAGATCCAAACAGATCCTATTTGTTTAAGTTTGTCTCAACCTGCTGTGAAGTGTGGTGTTGCTGGTATTAAGCTTTTTACACTCACAGTTTGACACTTCTTTTATATAACTATTGATCAAGTCTGGTTTTACTGTGTTTGAAGTAGGCCTCTTTAGGGGGTTGCTTTATAAAAGACACTACTGAATGAAGTCCCAAAAGCAGTGTATGTGGTAGTCGCCACTTTTGTTAAACCCGACGGGGCATGACTGGGGAAGCAAAACGCTTCCATATGGCTGTGGACGCAGGGTGAGCTGCTCTGCCAGCAGGCCTGGCTACCTCTGCTGTCTCCGGTAATCGCTTCTCAGTTACTCCAGGCTGCAGATAACACAACTGCACTTCCTGTTATTTATATCACTTGTTATCACATACTTATGGTGTACTGTGTACAGTGTGTGGCAGCAGGCTTTAATAATATGGACTTTAATAGAGACTGAAGTAACATGAATTACAATTTAAATTAGACTGTGCAACTGTGTGGGCATTCTTAAAGACAAGCTTGGGTCTTAACGCCGTTAATTCCAGTTCTTAAATTGATGATTCTACCACTTATTTCTTTTGTATCACTATAATCGGTCAGAAACTAGTGAAATATGACGTGTTTTTGTCCAAACAAAACAAAGAGATTTTCTTTACAATTACTTAAAACTGAGAAAACAACATCAAAACTTCACATTGGAGCTGCTACCAAAGAATGTTTGGAGATTTACCAAAGAAATGACAGAAAATATATGTCTTATCATCAAAATAGTTGCAAATTAATCTTTTGTCAATGGACTAATTCATTGATTGACCAATCGTTGCAGTTGTACTCTTTATCTTACTGTTTCTGGTTTTGGTCTCCTGCCACAGTGGTCCTTAAGAAAGTATTATTCTAGCCTTGTGGACAGTGTAAGTGAAATGGGACAGCAGACACTAATTATCCTGCCCGAGTGGCCGTTCCCCGGACGCTGCGTCACTCTCTATTAATTGGCTGCACCTGTCTCTTGTCATTGGTCATAACCCAACGCGCTCCCAGTGAAAGGTTGGCGAGATCAAGAAAGCATTCGCCGCTGCTGTTGTGCAGAAAGCTGCTTGAGATAATCCAGTTC